TATATTATATTTATGTGCGTGTGTCGGAACTCATAGCTCGCGTCCTGTACCTCAACCTGTTGTTTGGCATCGTCGTTGTAAGACTCCTCAAGTCAGGAGCTCAAATCCTCTCTGAACATTAGAGGTGACTTGAGTCTTGTATAAGAGAGCCAAAAAAATACTTTTTACATTTATACAACCAAGACCTTTCATATCACCTAAGAGAATCATATTTTAACTTTTAAAAAGTGAAATATAATTTTTGATGCACGAGTAAGATGAGTATATATGTAGTAACTTTTAAAAAGTGAAATATAATTTTTGATGCACAAGTAAGATGAGTATATATGTAGAATGAAGTTTAGTTGTTAGATATGTAAATATATAAGAATTGAGTGAATGTATGTAAATCTTCCAAAAAAAAAAACTTTTGTTTTATATAAAAAAAAAGCACTTAATTACAATTATAAATAATATGAATAAGATAATATTACTAATTGATGTGTCACGAAGAAATTTTTATCATCTGACAAGAAACTCTAGGCAGTTTGAGCAAATTCAAATTTGAGATCATCTAATAGTAAAATCAAGCATCTCAACAAATGAACGCAATTATGCTAAAAGTGATCAATGTTAAAATAAGTTTAGATCAAACACAGAGAGTATAATTTAAGGCTTTGGTGCATCAATTAGAATGTTAAACAATCTCTAAATCTAGCTTGATTATAGTCAAATCAAGCAACTCAACAAGAGGAATCCAACGAGCTAAATATCATCTAATTTTGAGGCCGTTAAAATACTTAGATGTTATGCAAATAATTTATAATCAAGATAATAAATATAGATTGTCCGATCGAGTATTTTGATAACCTGACTAAATTTAGTAAAACAGTCCTCTCAAAAATTATAAATAGACATACATTCTTCACTTAAATGGGGGAGAAGAAGAGAAGAGAGTAAACTTATTATTAGAGTTTAACCATTGAAGTCATCAATATCATCGTAAGCTATTAGAGTTCATCATCGATCACATTCAACAATTATTGCAAATAATTAAGGCTATCATAGCCTCAACTACAGATTATGTAGCCAAATACCATTATAATGACTACTAACTATGACTTTTGTAGTTAACAAGTACTATTGTAGTTACCAACTATAATTAATGAAGCCAAATTATGACTATTGTAGCCAAACTACCGGTATAAAATTCTGATTATCAATTTTTGTAATCTCATCATATCTAATTCAGGGGAAGAGTGAACTTCTTTCTTAATATATTATTTTGATTTGGTCTGATCCGGTGATTTTTCCCCATTTTTAGAGCTTTTTCACATAAAAATTCTTAGTCTCCTCCATGCCTTGAGATATAGAAATTTTCTTAAAATAAAATTTATGTGCACATTATTCACAACACTAACATCATAATATCATATTACGAAGCCATTATAATAAATTATTTATCATTTGCACATGTTTGACAATGATAGAAATAACATTGAAAGATATGTTATGTTATAAAGCTGATGTGTCAACAAGAAAATTTTATGAACATGCACGAATATTATGCAAAAAACACACCAAATTCAAATTCAGAAATCTTTCGGCTCAAATTTCAACAAATTTATAGTCAAGTCGAATGTCTTGATAAGTATGCAAAAAAGTAATCCAATCAAAGTCCAAATGAGCTCATATCAAATATTTGAAGTGAACTCAAAGGCTTGAAGACTAGCTATTGTCAACTGCTTCCGATTACAGTCATTAAACCAACCATGACTATTATAATCAAACTACAACTATTATACTCACCTATTCTTATACAATTATATCTATAAGGTTAATTCAAAGTATTCATGACTTATATATAAGTGTTTTGTACTCTTAATTTACATAGTTGGCTATTTTAATAGAGTCTGGCTCCATGACTTTCTCCCTTTCAAGAGTTTTTTCACGTAAAAATTCTGCAGTCTCTTACACTTTTATAACAATGATGAATGATTTATGTTAAGCGCGATACGAATAATGTGATCCTTAATTATAAGGACACAAATTTATTACCAATTAAGTAGATCCTATAGCTATAACACAAAATCCAGTTCATGTTGAATATTTTACACAGCTAGTTAGTAATTGAACTATAATTAATAATATGGGATGAATGATGCACTACATTGGTTTATAAGACCAATCATATCAAATATAAAAATAGGATTTTTCGCACAATAACAAAATGATGGTGATATAATAACTTGCTGAGCCACTAATGAAATTGACTAAATTATTTTAACATGAAGATCATTTATGCAAATAAATCACCACATAAATATGAGAATAGATAATCAGCAAAATAAATTGATAATGAAGGTAAATCTAGTTATAAAGCAAAAGGGGCACATTCGATACTTATGCCGTTCAACTTATGGTGCGTTTAGGGTGTTGTTCTGGATTTGGAGTGGTTCAAACCAAACAGATGCACTACATTGGTTTATAAGACCAATCATATCAAATATAAAAATAGGATTTTTCGCACAATAACAAAATGATGGTGATATAATAACTTGCTGAGCCACTAATGAAATTGACTAAATTATTTTAACATGAAGATCATTTATGCAAGTAAATCACCACATAAATATGAGAATACATGAGCAGCAAAATAAATTGATAATGAAGGTAAATCTAATTATAAAGCAAAAGGGGCACATTCGATACTTATGTCGTTCAACTTATGGTGCGTTTAGGGTGTTGTTCCGGATTTGGAGTGGTTCGAACCAAACCTAAGCTAAGGTGTCGTTTGGGGCACGCGTTGGAACTCTGTTTTGCAAATAAGGGTCTGTTTGAGAGAGTTTTTTGTCTGCTTTATTTTTCAGACCGCTATTACAGTTCTCACTGGAGAAATGTTTTTCTGTTACTTTTTAAAAATTTTTATTGTTAACTGAATTGTTAAAGTGTGGTGACTGCCAGAAATCTGAGGTGTGTATTTTAAAAATAAAATAAATTTATAATAGCCACAACAGCTTTTTAAAAAATATTTTTTCTATAGCAGTTTCACAGAAGAACAACTGGCCCGATTCCGGTTGGTTCAATCCAGTTTTATGCCAACCGGAATCGGACCAATGGCCTGTTCAGTCGAACCAGCCGGTCCGGTACGATTTTCTAAACCTTGCAAACAACTACACTCATAACTTTCCAAGCACCTGGATGCAAATAAAAAGAAAGGGGGAAGATTTACATATATACCATCTAATTCTTATGCAAATACAAATCTAACATCTAAAACTTCAATTTTTACATACATGCCATAGTACCTATGTATAAAAAGGTTTTTATGGGAAAAAAAAAAGAATGACATGTAGTAAAAAGTTAAAATTTAGGTTTTGGATGGGTATATACATAAGAATTCCATGGTATTTATGTAAAGCCCCCAAAAAAGAAGCAACACCACCATCTAATGGAAGAAATTAAGCCAAGAAACTCTAATATAAAACATAGAACTAAACCTGAAAGCTAAAAAATTTTACTTGGAAAACTGCATCCAAGATAAAATTTGGCATTTACATGCAGATCACTAAATTCCTATATATTTACATATCTAACACCGAAACCTGACTTTTTACATTTATACCACCCACATCTTTCATAGCACACCAAAAAAAAAATCACTTTTAAAAAGTGAAATACAAATTTTCATGCATAGATAAGGCGGCATCTACGTAAAAATCGAAGTTTAGCTGTTAGACATGTAAATTCATAGGAATTCAGTGGCATGTATGTAAATCTTCCAATCCTACCTTACCAAATTAAAGAGGAAGAATGAACTCACAGTTGCAGACCAAAGAGGCATTCGAAATCGAAGAACAGAGGCAGCGAAGGACGTGTGAAGTTGAACGGCGAAGATGCAGTCGCCAACCGATGGATCGACGGTCGTGATCAAACCGAGGCCGTCGAAATCGCAGCTCTCGGCTCCCTGATCATGCTGCTGGTAATAGCTGTTGAAGGCATAAGAGATATTTGTAGGCCAGGCAAGGCTGGAGCATGATCCCCCATTAGATAGAGCTGTGCAGTCAGCTTCAAAACAAGCATCCATGGCTCTAACAGAAACATTTGATAACTCCTTATTGTTATTCACCACGCACCACCTGGAGCTGAGGTACTCCACATTCTGAGCACTGGCTAGTTTCTTCGAGCCTTCCCCGAAGTCGACATCATACTTCGCCTGTCCGTCGAAGGTGAAGATGCCGAAGTGCCTTTCATAGTTTCCGGTGGCTATATCGCGGCGATCTTCATCCAGAAGACTAAAGACATAGGTCTCTGATACAACTCTGTTTGGCCGCAACGGCGTGCCAACCTTCTTCTTTAGGTGCTCGAGTAAACCTTGCATGAAGGTTCGAGCAAAGCCGGCCGTGGCATTTACCGATCCGTCGGTAGGCCAGCCAATCCTACCAATGATGATCTCCATGTCTCCAAAACCAGCCTTGGTCAGTGAAGAAACTAGAGCATCGAGGGTCGAGTCGAGGAAATTCGTGTACTTGCCGTGTCGATGTGTGCTGGATCGAAAGAGAAAGTAATCGATGGAGAGGTTTTGGTTTTGTTGGAAGGTTTGAAAAGGGTGGATGTCGATGACGAAGGGCGAGGGGTGGCGGTTTAGGAAGGAGAGGAGCTGAGACATGGTTGTGTTGAGATCTTCTCTGAAGTGAGCTGTGGAAGGGAGGGTGGAGTTGGACTGGAAGACATCGGAGCTGCAGGGAACAATGATTTTCACTTTATCGGCTAAGTTGGCGTTGAGCAGTGCAAGCTGAACGTTAATGGTGGCGCCGATGATGAAGGGATGGAATTGCTGGCCATAGGAGAGGAGGAACGGCTCGTCACCAACAGCGATGTACCTATGGAGATGTTTCATTAGCAGAAGGACCTGAAGAAATTCATAGTTCTGTATTCAAACCTTCATTTGGCGGGTGGAGAATATGGGAATAAGCAATGGAAATTCTCGCAAGGGGCATTTACATATATACCATGCAATTCTGATGTATTTACATATCTAATAACTAAACTTTCATATCTACACACATCACTCAAATTTTAAATAACAAAATTACCACTTTTAAAAGTGAAATACACATTTTCACCCATAAGTTTAAAGTAACAAAATTTAGGTGTAAGACATGTAAATACATAACATTTGTGTGGCATTTATATGAATGCCCCTTAATTTCGGACAAAAATCAAGATTCTCTTCGCTTAATTTTAGCATGCCCTCCTCCATCGCATTTCAAACACCTTGAATGTCCATCATCCTCCTCTAATATTCAATTGCTAAAGCACTTTATAAAATTTCACACCACATTCTGATTCCATTCCTTAGATCCTCCAATATAAGAAATCCTAGATCTAAATCGGCTATGAAATCTCTAAAAATAACAATGACCTACCCATGCGCCAACCTCTTTCCTTTCAACCACTAACTCAAATAAAATTAGGGGCATTTACGTACATAACACCAAATTTTATGTATTTACATATCTAACGCCTTAACTTTACTTTTTACATTTATACCACTAAAATATTTCATATCATATAAAAAATACCATCATTTAAATTTTTAAAAAAGGTTAAAAAAATAAATAAAACACCTTTCTATGCATAGGAAAGGAGACATGTATGCAAAAATTAACGTTCTAGTGTTAGATATGTAAATACATAGGAGTTTGGTGATAGAGCAGCTAACGATCCGATTTTGACTCAAGTCGGGGTCAACTTTAAATCGGCTTGAATGGATTTAGTGTGGTTCGAAATTGAAATGAACTAGCTCGAATTGAGTTATTTGGATCTGTTTCAGCTTGAAATCGATTTCATCCATCTTAAAATTGAAATAAACCGGCTCAAATTGACTTATTATTTAGATCCATTCATGCTGAAAATCGGTTTGAAATTGACTTGTGACTCCTAATATTTAATTTACTTAGAATTAGACATATAATTTTTATAAATGAAAAATACTACAAGCCAATCTTGAGTCAGTTTGAGCCGATCGATATATGGCTTAAAATCGGCTCAGAAAAAATTCAATCAAAAGTTTCGGCTCATAGCTTGGCTCGTTTATTTTGATTTGAGCCAAAATTTGAATCGATTTTCGAGTGATTAACAAACTTCTAGCTAAATTCACAGCCCTACTTAGTGGTATGCATGTATGTACGTAAATCTTTCATAACATTATTCTAAACACACAAATCTATGCTTCAAATCCTCATACACCCATAAGTGACTAGGTCATTCCCCTTGCTTGTTCTCTATAAATAAGGCAATATGAGATGTAGGAACTCTTCAATTAGAGGATAAATTTTTAGTTTGTTTTGTTACAAATTTGTGAATGGAAGCTTGGTATCTTCACCTTTCAAGAGGCTCAGAGGCTAATCCATCCATGAAACGGTCAAGAACAAGAACCCAAGCAAGAAAATTATTTTAGTATTTACATTTTATTTATTTTATTTGCATTTGTTGTGTTTATAAGGGTGTAAGTGAGTCAAGCCGATTTGTGAGTTGGCTCAAGCTCGACTTGATGGATGGCTCGTGAGTAGAGCTCAATGATCTAAAAAGCTAAGCTAATTTAAAATACATTTAAACTAAACTAAAATTTAGTAGTTCAAGTATGAAGTTGTTAAAAATATTAAACTTTTATAATCTAAGGCATTTCTTAATTTTCTAATTTTTATTATTTTATTATAACAATTAATAGAATTACAATTATTTTTTCTCTTTTATAAAAATGAGTGACTTGTGAACCCACTTGAATTTGCGGAATTAAATACGAACTTGAGAGCTTGAATTCAATTAATCAATCAATCTCAAGCTAAAGCTGATGGTGATTGAAGCCCAACTTGACTTGTTTACGCAGCTAGTTGTAAGCGTATGTATAAAGAACAAAAGTTTTGTAATTTTCATATTTTAAATATTTGCAAAATTAGAACTTGAGAATTTTGGAAGGATTCCTTTGAGAGAATTCCTATTCGGATTCGAATGAAAGTTGCTATCAAAGCATAAAAATGATCAATTCCCCCTACCATCTCTAGCCACTCCTTTTAGAAAGGGCTAGTTACACTTTGGCCAAGGGGTTTTTCAACCAAGCCTTATATATATATCTTTAAGTGGGCCATTTCCAATTCCTCACTTTATTGGGTTTTATTATAATGCAAGAATGGTAAAGCATCTATAAATATTGTGGACATTAGAAATAAAAGGATTGATATAATTTGCAAAATTTAGGAGTATTACACTATTTAAAGAAGGCTTGGGGACAAACTTTAAACCATGGAAATTGCTTTGGGGTGATTTCAATTGCAACTTTGCTAAGTTATAAATTTATTATTTTTTATTTTAAAATAAAATCTCTTGCTATTCAACCATTTTTCTACATCCCCTGCACACTCCTAAATTTTTTATTCAAGTTCCACACATTTCAAAATAAATTTATCAAGCTAAGAGAAAGCTATTAGTCCAAATTATGTCTCCTTGATCTTGTCTTGCTCCAACTACAATTAGACACCTATAAAACCCATAGAAAATTATAAAATGCTCTAAAAGTATATTTTGACACATGCTGGTACCCCTTTTAATGGTTTTTAGCCCATAGAAATCCTCTATTTTTCTTCACTAAAATTCATAAAATCCTAACATTAGCTCTTGGTCAACCTTCATGTAAATACTAGGCCGAACTCCATCCATCGGTCATTACCCACCCATTCCTCCAAAAATAAATCCAAAATTTCTATTTCATTCCGAATCCCTTATGTGAGGCATCCAATTTTGGTGAACCACCATTCAAAGTCTACACCATCTTCCTCTCTCCTCAACTCTAAGACATTCATAAACATAACCCCTGACCTCCACAAGCACTCTTCCCTCCATCCCTAACCCAAGTTCACATCATAAACCCTAAAACAAACATTCTTGAGTTTCTCTCCAAACTCAATCCCACCAACTCTAAAGGATTTCACCATTCTCCCACCTTCCCCGCAACTCTCCTAAACCTTACTACACACTTTATGACTCTTAACCCTAATCATTCTTAATGATATCCGTTACAAGCCATATTTAACCAATTTAAACCCTTAACTTGTCCAAGATTCATCAACTTCTCTCCAAGGTTTCATCAACCTTCATGAGGTCTAAACCTCCCAAGAACCCCACAATGAACTTCAATCAAAATGGCTTATGAAACAGAAACCGCGGGCATGTTTTTGGGGCCTAGATCTACACTTTTTGAGGGGTGTTATGAAAGTGCCTTCATCAAAGATATTTTCATAGGTCAAAAAAAGTGGTCATCGTGATGCTTCCATGGTAGTCATCTCTATCCCTGAAAAACTGACTCTCCAACACATAATAAAGTGAGTTCAACCATACTCAAAGGCACTAAGAGATTGAGAAGAAGAATATAGGGAAATATTAAAAAATAGATCTGCGAGTCTGACTGCAAAATTTGTGAAAATGGAGGAATTATTCATTTGTAAGTTTGCTAATAGAGGAGAAGTTGAATTTTTTACTAATGATTTGTCCATAGAGACTAGAGATAAGGAATTAAAAATGGGAACAAAATCAAGAGAAGAGGGCATGCTTGTCAACTTTGTAACTATAAATTAAAAAGAAGCAACAAGATCATTCTGACAAATCCTAGCACAAGAGTTTTTGAAACCACCTCAGCGGAGATAGGAAAAAAGATAATCACTATTTACAACCCACGTAGAATAAGGGCGACAACAACTAAGCTCGTAAAAGCCTTTGAAAAAGAAGTGGCGGAGCCAAACTTTAGATTCGGATGGCAAAATCAAAATTTAAGGGGTGACAGGGTAACGAATACTTAAGTTTTAAAATGTAATTTTCTTATTATTTTTTTAACTATTATAAATATGATTATTATATTAACAATATAATAAATTTTAATTTATTATTAAGTATTTTTAAGGGGGGGAATTATAGTCCATCATATGATATTAATGAGGAGTGGAGGATGAGTATTTTGGTCCCCATTTTTTAAAATAAAGGGGATGCACAAGAGTGTGCACAAGATAGAGGAATTAAGTTAATATGTCATACTTTAAAATTATGACAGAGGATAACTGAACATAAGTTGAGAAGTGGTACAAAGAGTTATCATAATTAGAAAGCTATTAGTCCAAATTATGTCTCCTTGATCTGGTATTGCTCCAACTACAATTAGACGCCTATAAAACCCATAGAAAATTATAAAATGCTCTACAACTATATTTGGCACATGCTGGTACCGCTTTTAAAAGTTTTTAGCCCATAGAAATCCTTTAATTTTCTTCACTAAAATTCTTAAAATCTGAACATTAGCTCTTGGTCAACCTTCATGTAAATACTAGGCCGAACTCCATCCATCGGTCATTACCCACCCATTCCTCCAAAAATAAATCCAAAATTTCTATTTCATTCCGAATCCCTTATGTGAGGCATCCAATTTTGGTGAACCACCATTCAAAGTCTACACCATCTTCCTCTCTCCTCAACTCTAAGACATTCATAAACATAACCCCTGACCTCCACAAGCACTCTTCCCTCCATCCCTAACCCAAGTTCACATCATAAACCCTAAAACAAACATTCTTGAGTTTCTCTCCAAACTCAATCCCACCAACTCTAAAGGATTTCACCATTCTCCCACCTTCCCCGCAACTCTCCTAAACCTTACCACACACTTTATGACTCTTAACCCTAATCACTCTTAATGATATCCGTTACAAGCCATATTTAACCTATTTAAACCCTTAAATTGTCCAAAGCCTTTACAAGATTCATCAACTTCTGTCCAAGGTTTCCATCAACCTTCATGAGGTCTTAAACTCCCAAGAACCCACAATGAACATCAATCAAAATGGCTTATGAAACAGAAGCCGCGGGCATGTTTTTTGGGGCCTAGATCAACACCTTTTGAGGGGGGTTATGAAAGTGACTTCATCAAAGATATTTTCATAGGTCAAAAAAAGTGGTCATCGTGATGCTTCCATGGTAGTCATCTCTATCCCTGAAAAACTGACTCTCCAACACATAATAAAGTGAGTTCAACCATACTCAAAGGCACTAAGAGATTGAGAAGAAGAATATAGGGAAATATTAAAAAATAGATCTGCGAGTCTGACTGCAAAATTTGTGAAAATGGAGGAATTATTCATTTGTAAGTTTGCTAATAGAGGAGAAGTTGAATTTTTTACTAATGATTTGTCCATAGAGACTAGAGATAAGGAATTAAAAATGGGAACAAAATCAAGAGAAGAGGGCATGCTTGTCAACTTTGTAACTATAAATTAAAAAGAAGCAACAAGATCATTCTGACAAATCCTAGCACAAGAGTTTTTGAAACCACCTCAGCGGAGATAGGAAAAAAGATAATCACTATTTACAACCCGCGTAGGATAAAGGCGACAACAACTAAGCTCGTAAAAGCCTTTGTAGAAGAAGTGGCGGAGCCAAAACTTTAGATTCGGGTGGCAAAATCAAAATTTAAGGGGTAACGAATACTTAAGTTTTAAAATGTAATTTTCTTATTATTTTTTTAACTATTATAAATATGATTATTATATTAACAATATAATAAATTTTAATTTATTATTAAGTATTTTTAAGGGGGGGAATTATAGTCCATCATATGATATTAATAAAATTAAAAAAGATGCCTAAGGGGTGGAGGAATAATATTTTGGTCCCCATTTTTTAAAATAAAGGGGATGCACAAGAGTGTGCACAAGATAGAGAAATTAAGTTGATGTTTCATGCTTTAAAATTATGGGAGAGGGTAATTAAACATAGGCTCAAACTTATTACAAAGATTTCTCATAATTAATTTGGATTTCTGCAAGGTAGGTTTATTATGTAAGCTATACAATTATTGAGAGGTTTGATGGAGAAGTACAGAGAGAATAAGAAGGATTTGCATATGATTTTTATTAAGTTGGAAAAAGCTTACGATAAGGTTCCAAGATATATCCTTTGGAGAGTTCTAGAAAAGAAAGGTGTTGATATGACTTATATTCAAGTCTTTAAAGATATGTATGTATACTAGAGTTGTTACTTGTCTTCGAACAGGAGGATTGACCAAATATTTTCTTATTTCAGTTGAAATATATCAGAGATTGGCTTTAAGCATGTTTCTTTTTGTATTAGTAATGGATGCTCTGATTGGAAATGTACAGGAGTATGTACCTTGGTGTGTGCTTTTCGCTAATGATATCCTTCTTGTGGATAAAACTAGAAAAAGAGATCAGAAAAAACTTGAATTATGAAGGTCAACTTTGGAGTCTAAAGGCCTTCGTTTGAGTAGAACTAAAATTAAATACAATACATGGAATATAATTTTAGTAGTAGTAGCTCTAGTGGCTGAGCTATAACTATGGGTGATCAAATCATCAAAAAATGTGAACATTTTAGATATCTCGGGGCTATTGTTCAAAGTGATGTTGATATGGATAGGGATGTTATTAGTAGAATTCAAGTTGGATGGTTAAAGTGGAGGAATGCATCAGGCTTATTGTGTGATAGAAAATTACCGTTTAGACTAAATGAAAATTTTATAAGATGGTGGTAAGACTTGCTATGATTTATAGCCCAGAATGTTGGCCTTTAAAAGAGAAGCATCAAACAACATTAAGTATTGTTGAGATAACAATGCTTAGGTGAATGAGTGGCTTGACATTTAGAGACAAAATGTGAAAAAAATCTATCTGTGAAAGCAACTCTAATAGCAATTAATACCAATTAATCACGCAGCTATCTTCTAACATAATAGAAGCACTACAACTCTATCAAAATCTCAACACAAAATATAAGAACATATGGAAGGCACATGCTAGACACAATCCCTATGCATTTTTTACAGATCTAACACCTAAGCATTGATATTTACATTAATACCACCTCACGTATGCATAAAAATAAATATTTCACATTTTTAAAAGGGGCATACAATTCTTATGTATTTACATATCTCACAATTCTTATAAGAACATATGGAATGGTGGTACAAACATAGCACACAATTCTTATGTATTTACATATCTCACAACTAAACTTTCATATTGCACTCAAATATATTTGATATCATATCATAATCAGTTTTAGTTTAGATATGTTGGGTAATGGTTGTATTTTGGATGTGATATGAAAGATTTGAGTACTATAAATCTAAAAAAACAAAAGCTTAGTTGTTAGATATTAAATTCATAAAAATTGTGTAGAATGTATGTAAATGCCCTACAAACATCATACAACAGCAAAGTAGAGAAAATCAACTCAATTTGCCATATCCCCTGATTACTCCAAAATCACATGCCCGTAAACTCTCTGCTCAACATTCCACACACACACACACATACACACCCTAAACCCTAATTCGCATATGAAGTAACCGACTGCTAAGAAACGAAATCAAGAGAAGAAGAGCTTACTTGATTCGCACGCGGCCCTCGACTCCGCCATTGGGAAAGTAACGGGTGATGTTATCATGGACCCAGCTCGCCGCCGCCTTCTTCGAGGAGTTGAGAGGCGCGAGCATACTGTTTGGGATTCCGACCATCACATTGATACCGGAGCCGGCGAGGCTCTCGAGAACGGCGGGATCGGCGTCGAAGAGCTTCACATTGGTGATATTGTTCGAATGGAGGAGTCCGGAGACAACCTTCTCCGGCGGGAGGGGATGCGAGGAGGAAGTCCCCCAGTTCACACCCACCGCCACCGCCCACCACTTTCCCGCCGGCGATAGCACCGCCGCGAGGAGGAGGAATAAGACGATCGCTTCCCGGTGACGGCACCGCATTTCGTTCTCTGATGGCAGATCAGAGAAGGAGAAAGAGAGTAAAGATGAGCCTTCGTCCTATAAAATATTTCATCCCATACAGTAGCCAGTAGGTGGTGTTCATGGCAGTGATAGTGGTATCCAAGACAGTTTTAGTGGTATTTATGATAGTATTATGATATTTTTTATATGATGATATCACCAATATTATCATAACTAAGGCGTGTAAATGAGCCGAGCTTGAGGGAGCCCAAGCTTTGTTCATGTTCAGCTCGTTAAAAATATCATTGTTCGTGTTTGGTGATCGCTAGTTACTCTACGGTATACCTAGTGATATTGAGATGAAATTTTATATTTAAAATGAGTTTTATAAATTATATCACTTAAGATCTACCACGGTTAAATAATATTCACTATATATAAACGCAAGTGCACGTATCACTCAAATAATATAAGAATTTTTTTTTCTTAAATCCAGAGTAACGAACCCACGGGAAAAGCTGTTAATTTTAAATGACTTTAGAAAAGTTCTAGCCGATTTTAAAAAGTCTTAGCATGGAAATTTAGTTCATATATAAATTTGTGTTAAGGAATCCTACTAAACTACTTCTACTCTTCTAAGTTCCTAATAAGCTATATACACTAAGTTAAATGAAGTAGGAAAGTTCAAGCTAATTAGATGTTCCCTCCCCATATAATGAAACTAGTAGTTAGTGTAGGTGCAAATCAACTAGAATTTTTAAATAAACATGTGACAAATAGGAGCATATATCTTTTTTATCTTCTTCTGAGCATAAAAAAGTTATGTAAACCAAGTTTCAATTCCTTAAACCCTATATTACATTAGTTACCATTCCAGTCTATCACTCTAGAGTCACCAAATCATACCCTCAATTTGGCTAACCTAGATTTAATTCATTAAATTCTAGATTAAGTTGGTTAGAATTCTAGCATGTCACCCTTGAGTCTCTAATTTACACCAATTACAATTCATCTCCTACCTAAGGACTACTTTTCCTTCACCCTATAAGTTAGTGTGCTAATCACTAGTTGTTTGAAGTCATAGCCCTCCCGGATCAATATGGGTTCACAACGAATTTTAATATCACAAATGATCAATTTGCATAGTAAATTAAGTACAGATGAAGTACCATCACATTCCATAAAGTAACATGAGTCAACTTTAATTTAAACCCTACACATGCTGCTAATCCATTACAAGAGGAAGAAAATAGTAAATTACTCAAATTGCATGAAGAAAACAATAAGACCCATTATCTCATAACACATCAAATTCAAATACTATGAAATAATTTGATACAAGACAATGCACACAAAATATACTTATCTTTTTCCCTGAGAAATGAAGAACACCACCCCAAAGTATTCTCCTTGCAATCTTATAGCAATTCCTTAGACCTCTCACATAATTCAAATTAAAATACAGGAAATAAAAGAAAATCTCACTTTTTCTTCAATTCCCTGCAGTGCTCTATGCTTCCTTTCCTTCTCTAATGTTCTCCTCTTCGCTTCTGCCATCAATTCCTGAAGAAAAAGATTACATTTCGTGTGAAAAACTGTTGGAAAACCGTCCAAGCAGTGTTGGTGCCTATGCATCTAACTGTGGAGCCTAAGCGCCACTCCCTCTGTCGGCTGGCATTTTGAACGGGTGCCTAAGCACTAGTATACTACGCTTACACACCATTATGTTGCACTTAAGCGCCAGAGTCTCTGGAGTCTGGTGCTTAGTTCCTAGGCGCCAGTTCAGAGGTCAACTCTTTGCTTTAATTCGCTCTGTTTCATTCCGTTGTCACTACAATTCGCTCCATTTCTTCATATGTTATACATGCAAACAAAAACATGAAAATAACTTTCTTTAAAGTGCAATTTCATTCAAAAACATGTGCTAAATGTAAAGAAAATTTGGCATATTAAAAGACATATCATTTGACTCGTTTATATATCGAGCTCAAAAAATTTATTCGTGCTCGACTCATTTGCTTAATGAGCCGAACACGAGCTATTCACGAACGAGTCAATCTGATTACCTTAGTCACGCTCTCTTAGGAATTTAGAAATAAGGGCATAATTTAAACCTCAATGTTTAAACGAAGATGTTTATTTAAATATAATTTACTATATATTTGTTTTACTTTTTAATTTATAATTCTAATTAATTATAAATCTTTGTAGTCTTGTACTCAATTAAATTATTTAAAAATAATATTTTTCAATTACATACATACAGATTTCGTGAAGTATATATATAATTATTTCGAGCCAAAACGAGTTGAAAAAAACTTTGTTTATGTTTGACTTGTATATATATCGAGCACGAAAAACTTGTTCATGTTCGGCTCTATTGCTTAGCGAACGAATCGAATACGGGCTACTGAACAAGCCAAACAACAAGCTGTTCGCAAACAACAAGCCATTTCGATAGCCCTAATCATAAATACCACTAATACAACTCAAAAACCATCATCCACACTTAACGCAGACGTAGCTCACCTGAATGTAATAATTTATCGTGTGATAGTGTCAACAAGAAGCCGAGCAGAAAATATTTGTATTCGGATGGAGAGTATATGTACGACTGATTGTATTTATAATTACTCTTACAGATTATACTGATCGAAGTAATTCAAATAAAATTTCACTACAAATATGAAAATTATTTCACTGTAACTCAAATGATAAAATAAGAATATAAATATATTTTTTTTACTATTATAATATATAGTTTTCTAATTCATGATAGTTTTTTTTTTTAAATTAAAGTATTAGACATAATATTTTAAAATTTAATTATATTTGTATTTTTTGACGTGTGTTAGAAAATTCGTGGCGATAGAGTAACGAATTATCTTCTTAGCGTTGTACGAGAATTCTACACACTCTTAGATGAAAAAGAAAAAAACAATGACTAATCTAAAAGTTTTTACGTGGAAAGCCCGTAAAGGGAAAAACCATAGGGTCTGGCCTAGTTGCAAAAATTTACTATTAATTGATGATTACAGAAATCTCTTATCCCACAGACGGGAAATGATACCTAAATATTTTTCAGATTACAACGTTAACTGACATTGTCTGGTTGGTGGTGATTGATGACGGTTGGCGGAGTTGACGACGATTGGCGATGGTCGACTGCGATCGGCGCTGGTCGACGACGAAGATCGGCGGTGTTCGACAACGATCGATGATGGTGCTAACCTGTATCTTCTCCTCAAGGTCTTAGGCTCTCTCTCCAGACTACAACCCCTCTCATGAGAGGAATGGACTCTATTTATAGTATTCTTAGTGCAATTAATGCAAACATATGAATCATTTTGATTGGATGACCCGAAGAGCTTCCCTCGATCATACGGCGTTTACTGGACATTTTAGTGCATTAATGATGTCAGAATTGAGTGATCTTGAGCTCGTTGGATTCGTTTTGTCGAGCCGCTAGATTCAAGTCTAACTTGTCATATTCGACAACTTTTTGATCTTCCAAATGTGTTGGAAATCATCTAAGTGTGGTTCAATGACTTGAATTTGGCTTTATTTAACTCGGATTTGTCTACTTTTCATATCATTAGGTTCGTCTCATCAAGTCAGCCAGTTTGACTATAAGTTTGTTGAAATCAGAGCTTTGGATGACTTTTTATCAAGATTTAAATATTGTCTATTTAAAATATCATTTCAAGATTCGTGTAGATTTGTGATGATAATTTATTGGCGGTGTATCTGTACGTTTAGTTTAAATCTTTTATAAATAGTCATCATGTCAAAATCAAAAAGTAAAAAGAATGAGCCGCTGCAATTTTTAAAATCAAGGCTAAAATTTCAATAATTTAATTTGTTCTAAAGCAGAAATGCTCTTTGGGCTTTTGCATACAATCACTCAATCCCATTGTATTTATACATCTAAACTCCTAAACTATATGTTTATTACATTAATACCATCCAAATCTTTTACATAACATTAAAAAAAATCAACATTTTAAGTTTAGAAAGATGAAATACTTATTTTCATGCCTTAGATAAGATGACGTAAAAATTGAAATTTAGGTATCAGATCTGTAAATGCATAGAAATTAAGTGGTGTGTATGTGTACGACAAAACGAGTTAGTATTAATCGCACAGGGATCCAACAGTCCAAAATGAGGAATATTATGAAGAAATATCATTTGCAAGGAGATTGTGGGACCTATTGAGTCCGTCAGCCGAGTTAACCGAGTCAAAAACTGACGAGAGGATGGTTGGCCCTGCACCGACCAAGCAACTCACCCGGAAAGCTCACCAGAATGACGTTCAGAACCTTAACCAAGGGAAAGCCGACTCAATACAAAAGCTTATCCTGCAGCAGAGCCCAAATGTGGTAATGGTTGATTCCACGAAGAATCTTCGATCATCCAACGAAGACCAAAAGGCTTCTTGCCATAAGTAAGATCTTTGAGCCCACCAAATTCACCCGACCGAGCTGAGCCAATCGAACCCACCAATTGGGATAATCGAGACCTATAAAATACTAAATATTACAATATAAATGATGCACTCTCACTTTTTAAAAATATTTTCATACATACCACACAAAAAAATTATTAGGTATGGCTCATATACCAGAAAATTTGGAGTATCTTGAAATTGAGAGGTGTGTCTTCTAGAATGAAAAGAAGTGTCTCTTGGTGTGAAAAGATGTGTCTCTTGGATTAGTGAGTTGGGGGGAGCGAATACGTCTTTGTAAATTTATATGTTTGTTTTATCTATAAATAGAAATATAATCATATGGGTATGTAACTGGACTCCTCTGAAATAGTGAATTCACCGCTCTGGTCCCGAGGATGTAGACATCTTTGCCGAACCTCGTTAAATCTCTTTGTGTTCTTCTGGATTTGTGTCGATTTTCATTTTTCTTCGCCCTAAATTTCTCAACAATTTGTATCAGAGAGAGATTAGATTAGAGGAGTACAATAAGAAAAAATAAGAAGTTCGAAGCCTAGTGTTTTCGACGGTTCGGAGGTTGGAGGCAGTTCCGATTTCGACCCAGAGGAGGAAGAACTGCAGCAGTTCTTCGGGTGGTTTCACGCGCGGTTGGGACGA